CCAGCAGGAGGCCCACTGGAGGTGAAATATAACAAAGGGAAGTTAAATTCTGGTGTGTGGCTGCTTCCACAGGGAGTACCCAGCCTTCCAGAAAAAGCCCAGAATCTTGAGCAAGCCACATTCTCAAGGTCACTTGATGCCATTTAGAGCATTCCCAAATTTACCCCATGCACACATGAACACACACCACACAAAGGCACACTCATACAAAGCACAACACTCACAAACACATGGATGGTCCACACCACTGTGCTGTACACACACACACAAAACACTATAATGAAATAACACAGTCTGGTTATGAAGCAAAGAGAGGTTTATGTTTGCTTATGGTTCTAGAGGCTCAAGGCCATGATCAGGCAGTCCTGTGTATTTGAGTCTCTGGCGAGGTCAGGACATTATGCTGAAAGCATAGAAAGGAGAGAGAGAGAGAGAGAGAGAGAGAGAGAGAGAGAGAGAGAGAGAGAGAGAGAGAGAGAGAGGAGAGTGTGTATGTGTTTGTGTTGGGCTTGGGGGTGTCCCCAGTGACCTAACTGCCTCCCATTAGACCTCACCTCCCAAAGGGACCACCTCCCCATAACTCCACCCTGGGGACTAAGCCTTAAACACATGAAATTTTGGAGTTGATTCAACATACAAATTAAGCACACATTTAACAGTCACAAACAATACACTAAAGGACACTGGAGGATAAGTATACATCTTTGAGGACACAGAGATGTTATGAAGGTCTTCTGCCCATGTGAAGATACAGGTCCCAGGGCCCCAAGCCTGGCTCTCCAGGCCACACCCTCCTCCAGGCTCTGTTTCCACAGAAGCTGGGCCCAGCTAAGACTCATTCTGGGTGATGTAGAGATAGATGAGGGCAGCTCCTGCTCTTTATGGACCCCCTCTTTTCTGTTGTGGGCTGGACACAAAACACAGCCCTGGACTGACTCAACCTCCCAGCTGGGAAAGGGTACCACTGCTAGCTGCAAACTTAGACTCTTCTCTTCCCACAGTTCATGTTTATTTCCTAGCAGGACTGTTTTTGTAATCTCCAAAAAGATCCAGAATGATTTGAAATGGGGTAACAGAGGAAGATTCTGCAACTGCTGAATCACTGCAGTCATAATGCAGGGGCTGGAGGAGTCATCAGAACCACCGCCCCCCAGCCTCAGGATGGCAAGTGACTCAACTGTGCTGCCCACTCCCTCCCTTGTACAGGGCAGTCAGTCAGTCAATGATGCCCTCTTCCATTCTGTGCACAGGACAGACATTGGCAATCAATCAATCAGTGATGCTCTCCCCGTCCTGTGCACGGGGAAGAACAACAATCATGTGGCATAAGAGGAAACCATTTTGGCAGTTCAGTTATGTCCAATTCCATCCTTTTACAGATGAGGCTAAGGTCCAGGGACTTGCTCAAGGACAACTATAGGGAAGATCTCCCCTTCTCCTTCTGCCCCTCCTAAGAACTAGTGTGTTCTCTTGTCACTGGAGCAAATTCAGAAAATCAGCAGGGTTATATGTCCTGAGCTGATTCCTACTTGATTTGGGCCATGAGGTGATCCTTAAAAGGATGGCTGCTGGGACTGGTGAGTAAGACTGAGTGCCTGACCACTTCAGGTTGGGAAAGCTCTTCGTAATTGGAGCTGCTCAGAATGTCACAGCCCAGGATGTCACTGTCCAGTGTCCTCCCCTCTTGCACTGGCAATGTCAGGTTGTCAGCAGAAGTAGAAAAGTATTTACAGGGCCATACTCCCTCCTCTCAGGGGAGGGTCCTTCCTGTCCTTCCAGCTTCTGAGGGTTCCGGGCATCCCTTGGCTTGTGGCTACATTGCTTCAGTCTCTGCCTCCATTGTTACATAGCTGTCTCCTCTGTGTCATCCCATAAGAAAGCTTGTCATTGAATTTAGGACTCACTGAAATTCAATGACAACATCCTAATTTAAGAAATTATAACTGTGACAACCCTATTTCCAAGGTGAACATGTTCTGAGGTTCCAGGTGAACATGAATTTTGGGAGAACACCATTCAGCTCTGTACTAGCCATTTCACTTTTAATATTAAACAGAGATCATTGTCTCCTCTATGTGCAGATCCTGGGAGAGGATCTGATTGGCTCACCCTGGGCCAATCAGAGATGAGGGTCACATGGTACAGAACTCGTGTCTGTGTCAGGGGATGGAAGACCTGGGATGTGGACAGTTCACCCAAATTTTTCTTCACTTTTGCTGCCCATCATGGCCTCTCATGTGTCTTCTGCCCTCATTTCCCCCTCTGTACCTCACAACTTCCAAAGAGATCTTTGACTTGCCCCAGTCATGCACATTCTCTGCCCTGAGTAGAGTCCAGAAAAGGCTGCTTGGGTAGGGAAACTGGGTTCCACTCTACCTGACTCTAGATAGTAGTGTTGTGCACTGATTAAGGGCAGCAGTGTTGGAGGCTCACATCAGAATGGGAATATGCAAATCAGAGCGGAGGAGAAGGTCTTAGAAGTGACCCAAGGCCCCTGGGGTCCATAGCCTGAAATGGATTGCCTGGGGCAGTCAACTGCACTATTGACCTCCCATGGTAAGCACAAGCTCTGCACCCAGTTGAGAGAGAGGCCTGGCTGTAGGGAGTAATAATTTGATTTGGTAGCTGCACAACTACATGTGCCTGGGTTGGTGCTGGACACCTAAACATAGCCTGTAGCCTTGACCTGGTGGTGGGGTGGTCTCTTCAAGGGGAAGGATGGAAGGACACGAATTTCATACAAGTATAGGCACAGAAAGGAAGGGGCACATCCTACTAGGCTCCTTGACCAGATCCACAGCTGTTTGGAAGTCACCAGGAGGTACAATGTTGTTTTCATTTCTTGGGGTTGGGGTGGAGGTGGGTAGCTCATCATCTTTATAATGTTCTGAGATCCCTAAAGGAGCTGTTTCCCACCCACCAGTTTTCCCAAACAACCCTGTGATGAATGTAGAAAGGAATCAGAAATATGTGGAGCAAGTGAAGTATGGAAAACCATTCACTTTTTTAAAGATCTCAGGGTGTTTAGAAATACATTTTTCGGAGGCTGAAGGTTGTACACTAGCAGTTTTTTGATCATTGATTTGTGGATTCCCATAATATACCCATAGGCCCCATCATTAGCTCCAAGTTACAAAGAAGCTGAAGATCAGAGGTGACTACCCACAGTCACACAGCTTCTCCTCCAGCCCCAGCCTCACTCCCTGCAGCTGGACAAACCACCCTTTTGCAGAAGCAAGGCCAGAGCTCAGGCTTAAGGTGCAAATATCCCCGCCTCCACCAGAGGAAAGGCCACATATCCACCCTTTTGGGAGTTGAGTGTCTGGAAAGTAAGAGGGCAGATGGGGCCAGTAACTCTGGGAAAATAAAAGCCTGACCTCCTCAACTTCTGAGATGGCTAGGGTGTTTATTCATTCATTCATTCGTTTATCCACCCATCCATTCACACATGCAGTCACCACACACAGACTGAACATCTACGGTGTGCATGCCCCTGTGCTGACTCCTGCCAGCAAGATGGAGGAGACTGACATTAGATAAACTCACCCCTTCACACTGCAGTCCAGAGGAGAATCAGATGCAGTGAGAAAGAGTAACTTGGCTCTGGCTTGGGCTTCCCCAAGAGTGACATTTAGCGTGGCATAGGACAAGGGTTGGGTTGGGGCCAACACTGCCTGCCTGTCATTTTGCTGCAGAACACCTAGCACCTGTATCTCCTAAGCTGGGCTTGGGCCTTAAAGGCCTTTCCCAACTGGGTTGAATTCTCTCCTGAATCTTGTTTGCAGCTCTAAGTGGCTCCAGCCCTGCAGGGGAGCATGGAATCCTCTCTTATCTTAAATCAGGCTCTTAGCCTTTAGAGTCAGCCCCAGGCACCCTGCCATATACCACCGCAGAACATGATCTGAAACCACTCGCCCATTTCCCTCCCCCCAAGCTGAGGGCTCCCTGGGCCAGGAACCTACTTCCCCCTTCTATTCTGAGCCATTGGCAGGTACTTAATACATATTTGAATGGATGTGTCTCTTCTGATTTTTACAAATGCCCGCACCTGGGAAGTACTAAGGTACTTAGGGCAAGAATTATTTCTGCTGCTGCCTTCTCCCTGCCAGGCCCTGTCCTTTGGTAGAATGGGGCTTTACTTGGAAGCCTTGGCCAGTCACCCCCTCTCCAAGTTTCTTCCTCAGTGCAGGAGGCAGACAGACAACGCATGAGCAAACATTTTGAAAGCTGCATGAATTCAATGTCAACTGGATGAGGGGCCTGTGCTTGGCACGGGAGGCCCAGGACGGTACTTGACCAGCTGCCCCAGGTGCCCCGCTGCAAGTTGGGGGCACCGGAGAGTGGGGCACGCCCGGGCTGATACCCTTTATTCCGTCCCTCGTTGATGTTACCAAAAAGCCCAGGCCTGATCCTCCGCCCAAGGGGAATTTATTACTGTTTTATAAACATTACTTTTTTTTTGGTGGTGCTTGACCAACTATTCTATTTCCTTCAAGTCCAGGAAACCCAATGGAAGCACCCACCAGCCCCTAAACCCACTTACTCCCTGAAGCCGGGGCTGCCCGACCACCCGCCGCCGCCCGCGCAAGCCACTCCCCACGGCGCCGCCCGCCGTGACGTAAGGTGGCGAGACCGTGACGACACAGACTCGGCGGCCGAGTGGCGCCAGCGCGACCGGCCACGCGTCGCCATAGCGACAGCGGGGCGGTGCCCGTCAGGGGTTGGAAGCCCGCCCTCTGGAATGAGGAGAGCCACCCAGCACCTTCCAAGATCGCGTGCGTCTCCGAGGCTGCGCACCTCCGGCTTCCCGGGTACTGCGGTCGGGAGGCCTCGGAACAGCCGCAAAGTAACGACGACCGTTATGCGTCGCCCTCCACTGTCGCAAAGTGGCGCGCCTGCCGCCCGGCTGGGCCCAGGCCCCGCCCCGCGCTGTGACGTATACAGCGCGCGCGCCCCGCGGCCCGGCTGCGCCTGCGTAGTGGCGCCCGCAGGCCACCGCCCCCCGCTGGCCGACGCTGGCGGCGTAAGGCGCGCGGGCCCTGGAGCGGGCGCGGCGGAGTGGTGAGCCCGGCCCTCCCGCCGAACATGCCGAGGCCAGCTCCGGCGGCGCGGGAGCCGGAGCAGGGGCCCGATCGGGCGCCGGAGTCCGAGCCGAAGCGCGAGCTCGTGCGGGGCCCGGAGCGGAGAACGCCGCGCTGCTGAGGCCGGCTACCGCCGCCCGCGGGCCCCAGGCAGAGCGCAGGTAACAACGCGCGTGCCCGCCAGGGCTGGGACCCCACCCCCACCGCGCCCCGACTCCAGTGACTTGCCCCGCGTTCGGGACCCTCCACCCTGGGCCCAGCCTCTTCTACAGCTCGCGGAACCCGAGACCCCCGCCCCCACGCTTGGGACTCCATAGTTCCCTACATCCTACAAAACCTCAACCTCAGACCTCGGTGGCCCCCAGCGACCCTCTGTACCTGCGTTCGACACCCCCACCGACTCCCAGTTCCGGACCCTGGCGCCCTCCCACCCCCCAGTGATCCCCACCCCCGCGCTGGGACCCTATCGCCTCTTACACTTTTCTGAGTCCGCGTTCTGGACCCTGGCGCCCCTCACTCCCGCTCACCATTTGCTTTGGACCTCCAGGCCCTGTCCCAGTGTTCACGACACTTAAAGACCCCACCCCGTTGATCTCCACACTCTGACTCCACTGCCTTCCGCTGATCCCTAGTCTCCAGCCCTCTTGTCCCTTGGTTTCCTGCTCCCCCAGTGCTCAAGATCACTTCCCACCTACATGTGTCCCCACACTTTACGCTGTCGTGTCTTGAGGCCCTCTGCCCACCTGGTCCCATGGCTTCTTTCTGGCTGTCTGGCTCCTTGTTCCTTCTCCTGGCCCTTCCTCACTGTGGTGTATTCCCTCCCTACGTTGTAGATCTGCAGCTTCTGAGGGGCAGAGTTGAGGGACTTGGGGCTAGGAAGGGGGTCAGATGTTGGGGGAACCTGTTGCCGGTGCTGCTTGAGAACTCGCTGGGTTGACTGCGCCCTCCCCCTTCCGCTCTGGCTACAGGCTTTGTTTTCCGGAAACACACGGATCAGGGAGGGAGGGGTGAGATGTCTGAGCTGGCGACCGATCCCAGCCTGGCCTCTTTGTCCCAACTTTGGGGGATGACTTTGCCATTAGGAGGTGGAGGCAGACAAGCCATTCAGAGACTGTCAGGTGTGGATAAGGCCGGCTTTGGGAGCAGTTGGTTCTTATACCCTTGGCCTCGGGATGGCATTTTGCGGGAAGCAGCCTGGAGGGTGGTCTGTAGGTGGAGGCTAGTATTTTCTCCCCATCCCCTCCTTGGAAGAGCCCAGGCCTGTGCAGCTGTCTGCAGGTCTGTCGCTGGGACCCTGGCTGCTGGGGTCTATTGTCCCCATCCCCCAGAGCATTGTCTGGTGTCTTTGGCCTGAGGTTCTGAGAGCTGGTGGGTGTGAGACTGGTGGGAAGGTACAAAGGCCTCACCAGTCTAGGGGAAAACCCAGCGACCCACAGAGCAGGGGAGCTCGCTGATCAGAAATGGGGTGGCTGTAGGGGAGGGGGCTACCTTGCTCATTCCAGGGGCCTAAGGAAGAGAGCAGATTGTGCTCAAGGCCCACAGGCTTGAAAGGAGGAAGTTCTACGTTTTCATAGGTAGTTTGTTTTTGTTCTCAACTGTGTCTTCACAGAGCTGGGCGGTGCTGGTTGATGACTTTTCCATGGAGCACCCAGGGTGCTCACAGGCACAAGGCAGGGCAGCCTGCTTTGGGTCTCCAGTGCCCAGATGTGTTCAGCCCCCCACCTGGAGCTGTAGCCCACCTGGAGTCAGTGGGAGGGAAAGGGAGGGCCAGATGGAGGGACTCAGGCCAGTTGAGCTTCTGTGTTACAAGTGGGTGGGGTGAAATCTGCAATGATCATATCCTCCCCCCACACACAGGGTGGATGAAACCCCAGTGGGTTTGCTGTGGCCAGTATGCCACAGGTCTGGTTCAAACATGACCTGTTTGCACCTGGACCTGCTTGTATCATGCAGCCTCCTGTCTGATTTGATCCCTCTGGTTCCTCTGGGGCAAAAGAGGGCAGATTGTTCCTATGGGCTCTGTACATGTCCCAGAAGCCAGCTCACCCTGGCGCTGTCAATGACAGAGCGGAACTTTGTGCAGAGATTTCTTTGAATTACTGATTACTTTTTTCCTCCTCCTCCTTTTTAATTATACAGTAATTACTTCTGGAGTACAAAAGGAAGTACGTGAGGTTTTCTTGGTATTTGAGAGCCTTCCCTGCTCATCCTAGGCTTTGGGAAAGCCAGTATGCTAGCCATTAATTTGGGAATTAGGACAGGCATTTGGTGTGCCAGCTGGATGTGGAGCCACTCTTGTTTGTGGGATTGTGCAGGTACAGGGGTGCCCACCTGAAAGGTCCTGGGGTCTGGACAGCCTTTTGCTGGACACATGTCCACACAGCCACTTGGGACAGAGGCTGTGCTTAGGGATAGTAGGCATTTCCCCCGGGAGCTTCCATGCAGGGACATGAGAGTGACTTTGCTGTCCCTTTTGAGGTCCCCAGGTCCTCACATGAACAGCCAGCAGCCCTCCATCTGCCATTGTGGTCCCTACCTGGGCTGTGGGGTGGGGAAGACGAGAGGCAGGGTCCTATTGGGGCCAAGTGCAGTGTAGTCTTCAGTGTCCACGTGGGCAGGTCCACTTCTGCAGGTTAATGTCTTTCGTGTAACACGGAGGGCCCAGAGGGCCCATGTGAAGGAAGCGCTGGGCTAGAAGACCTGGGCAGGGTTGTGGGGGCGGGGGGCAGTAGCTGGATCCTTGTCCACTCTTGATGAAGCCTAGTGGAGGCTTGGTGACCGTGCACATACTAGATTGAGACCTTCTCCTTGTGAGCTGGGACATCCAGCTGTCTGGATTGACAAGCTGACAGGCTTGACTCAGGTCTAGGCCCAGGGCTGGCAGCAGGAACCACACAGACATCTCCACACTCAGTGACTTGTTGAGCAATAGATTGTCTGAGCCAAGACTGGGGTTCTGGAGGGCACCCTTAATCTGCACCTCATCCCAGTGCCTTTGTGCGACCTGTGCTGTGTGGTTTCCATGAAGTAGTTGCCCTTCCCCATTTACATCACTGGCCCATATGATAGAGGAGGACCTGGAATTAGATGAGGGCTGACTTCAGTAACCCACCAGGACCTGGCTGAAGCCAGGAGGGCCCTGTCCTGAGGAAACCCAGCAGAGTCCTGGGTGGCCCCTTGAGGCTGTAAAGACATGTTACCTCACCCTCTTGGTGTCTCCTTTGCTCCCTTCCTCTCTTTGTGCCCCCCAGCAACTGGGCCAGGCCAGCCCCACCTTGCTGTGCAGGTAGACCTTCAGGAACAGCTTTGGCCTTATGAGGTGGGGGCAGGCCCCATTCTGGTGCCCTGGCAGGGCTCACTCAGTAGGCCCAAAGCTGGGCTGGACCTCAGAGTGAGGTGTTTGGTTGGGCCTTAACAGATCCTCATTTGGCTCCTGAATTGCAGAAATGCATACTCAAAGTGGCAGGGACTGCCATCTGATTGTGTGGGCTTCTTGGTGCTGGTTACCTGGAGTAACAAGACCTCTGACTGTGACATTCAGGTGCAGGCAGGACCCTGAGGCCATCTTGCTCACCCTGAGCAGGGCTTGGTGTGGCTCCCTCATGCCTGTTTTCTCTTGACCCTCCTATGGAGGTATAGGGCCATCGTAACACACCCACATGCTCCTCCCTTTTCTGTCCTCTGTTATATCCACTGTGTTGTTACCAGATGGCTCCTGGATATGTGAAGGGCTCAGGATGTCATAGAAGGTGGCTTTGGGGGTAGGGGGAAGTCAGAACTGAGTCTGGAAACCCACAGCCATGGGATTTGCCCCTGCTGCCCCAGGTCCATTGCTGCCCCTCACAAGACCCTGTGGGTTTCTAAGGAAATCAGGCTCCTTTGAGCACCTTTTCTTCTTGCTGGCATCTGGTCACTGCCACTGCTTCTTAGATTTTGTGCCAGTCTTGTCTTTGCAGTTGGGTGGCTGAGGGAGGGGCCATGTGGCCTGAGCCTCTTCTCATACCTGTTAGATGGCTCCAGTATGGCATGATGCCTTGGCTCCTCAGTGCAGCTGCTAACAAGAAGCCCCCCCCGGGGCTGCATTCCTGGGGTGGGGAGCTCCCTCAGAGGCTCTGAGGAACTCTCAGGTGGGGTATAAATAGTGCCACATTTTCTTTATCTGAATATCTCAAGTATCTCCCTTGCACATGAGAATAAGCCATAATTTGAGCCCAGGGATCAAGGAGCAGCCCCCACCAGCCTGCCTTGGGTCCCTTCCTCTGGAAATCCCTCAGAGGGCAGCTTAGGGCCTCCTCAGGACAGTTCAGTACCACAAAGCTGAGACAGTTTTAGTTCTTTTAAGATCCTTTCCACATGTGTCAGGGGCAGGCAAACCTGTGATGCAGTCGGCTATTAAAGTTCATCCACATAAGTTCCAGGAGTGGGTTGGAGGTGTTGCATGAGTCCCTTGATTTCCCCATGAGGGTTCTGTGCATGATCCTCAGCAGTGGGGCAGAAACACTGTCCTTGGCCAGCCTTGAGAATGCCTCTGTGGATAGGGTCATGGGACCCAACCCAAGAGACTTCTATGTAGAAGGGGAGTGAGAGATCCTTGGTCTCTAACTGTGCCTGACCTGAGGGTATAGTGATAATCATTGCCAAACTTCCCTGCCTGGGAGCCTGCCGGCACCCTGGAACCAAAAACCACCAGAGTCTCTTGAAAAGGTAGAGAAGAGCTGAGACCTGCCAGAGGGAGAACTCAGTGCTTGTTGCTCACTGGCTTAGCCTCTGCTTCCCTGAGCCCTTACAGGAGAGGCAAGTGTGAGGACCGTGGATCCTTAGAGACCAGGTCAAGTGCTGTCTCACCTGATGGTTCTGGGTCACTCTGGGTTTCCATGGGATTTGATGATAGGATGGAAGGAGTTGGGGTTGACAGCTGACTAAAAAGGCAGTTTATATGTAATTTACTTTTGAGTCCTGAAAAAGTTGTCCTTAAAGGAAAACCAGTTATTTGGAAATTTTTGCTTCTCAGAATGCAGCCTCGCCACTCCTGGTTTGGACCCATCCGGGATCCTGGTCTTTGAGATCAGGTAAGGACATGGCCTAGAGGCAGTGTTACCTGCAGGACTCATCTTCCCCAGGGACCTTGTTTCTGAGGTGACCTGTGGTGACCTCTGCTTTT